ATCTTTTATCTGTTTATAACGGATACCATAATTGAGAGTTTCTTTCATGTACCTAATAACTCTTTTAGTTGCTCTAAATCCTTATTTTTTTATTGTATCTAATCCTAATTATTTAAATTAATTTTATCAGGGTTTACTATAGTATAATTATTTAAAATAATTTTTTTTAACTATGATTACAACATATGTATTATCAATCAATTTTGAATGTATTATTTAAGATTTTGAGAATTGAACATTGTTTTTTAGAAGGGTACACTATTTTCTTGGTACAATATGACATTTCTGAATAATTAATTTGATTTTTTTACTACATTTATTCAGAAACTTTGGTAATAAAGATAATAGGTTGCTCCATTGATATCATTTAATAAAAGGAATTAAAATAGAATTGATAAAAATGACTCCATTTGTGGTCATTCTTTAAGACAAACATTTAACCCTTTTTTTAAAGTAAAACATGACTGTTTAGGTACTTTAATGACAAAACATCACTTACATTGATTCTAAAAGCAGTACCATACTATGTTTCTAAAATGAATACAAGGCTACTCAAAATCAATGTAAAAAAAATTAATATTTTATTTTCAAATGTTTCGTGCTGATAAATATTCGGGCATTCACTTAGGACACTTGTTAGTGAACAAATGCGTCGTGGGCGGTGAGTCAGCACAGCCTGGTCCACGAGTCGATGTCGGGAGTCTTTTGTCAGCTGAGCTAGATGCCGAGGTCGATCGGGCCCTCGCGATGGAGTGTTGATCAGCGTTCCTTGGTGTGTCGATTCGGGCGCCGTGTATGCCGAGTTGTGTCTCTCCTTCTCCGGGGTGGTTGGTAGCTCGTCTTCGTAAGGTGGCCGTGCCCTCGGGAAGGAGTGTGGGTTAGCATTGGTCGGGATCCGGACCGATTGGTTGCTCACCTTCGTGCATTGGATGGCGATTTTCGAGTGGTTGGCAACTCGCCATCGTGAGGTGGCCGCGTTTTCCTATAAAAATGGCCCTTGTCGAGATCACCCGACGAGGCCCCTCCGACGAGCAAGTCAGTGGAGTGATCAATTTAATTTTTTTCCACCCCCGGCCAGATGCTGGCTAGAAGTCTTTATATTACTGTACGTGGGTCGATCGTACGCAGGTTGGCGTGGTGAACGTGCCGAACAGTGCCTTAGTACGGATTCTAACTTAGGGTGTTTTGGGGGCGGCGTCGTCTCAGGGCTCCTTAGGCCGAGCAATGCTTTAGTACGTATTCTGACTTGACGTGTCTTGGGGGCCAAAATATGTTGTATCAGTACTCCTAAACCAATTTGTGGTAATCTTCTTGTCCGTATATCACTTATGCACAAAGTTACTTAAATTAAATATGAACCTTTGAAACTTACATGAACATATATTAACCGGGAATATAAGATATAATTTTTTTAAAATCTAAAATCTCTATATTATAATCTTAACTAATACAAGCATAAAGTGAATAAAAAATACATGTATTCTAAACTCAATTCAGTTGATCTTAATTACGATTAGAAATGGAAAATAACATTTGGAGGGACGTATATATTATACTAAAATTTCAAAGGACAAATTACATCATTTCCGAGATTTACAAGAATAAGTATCTCTAAGTTTATGGTTGCATTAAATCACAAGAAAGAAAAAACTAGAAAACACTTCACATCTAGTAAATTTAAATAGATTCCTTTTGTGTATTTATAGTTTTCTCATTCTTATTCATATTAATTGGAGTCCTAACGATATATAATATTAGTTCGCGTGGTTCATGGTGCTAAGATTAGTAATATAAATGAGAACTAGGGAATCTCACCCAAGACCGGTGTGCCAGCCAATCGTGCGTAGTAAATTATTGAAGTGAGACGAGGAAAGCTTAGTTAGACTATTTCGTTGACAGCTGACCTACTTTTTCTTTCAAACCAGCAAAGAAACAAATGCCTCCTCGTAGTGGCATCCATTATTAGTTACCCAATGTCGTTTCTCCACATACGATTGAAATCACATGCCTACCTGTATGCTGCTGCATGCTACTCTCCTATAGCCAAGCCAAGTGGCAATGAGATATACACCGAACGTACAATAATATCGTAGTTAATGCTAATTAATTGTTAGATAAAAATCCTCCTATTTACCTGTAAAACTCTCTCGTTACATAAGCTATGTACAACGTTAGAGACCTACGTGTCATTCATTGCCTACCCCCACTATTTGTTTTGCTTTGCTTAGGTGGCAGCAATCCATGGTCCGTGATAATATCTCGAATTTGAAATTAGAATTGAATCAGTTTCAATCTCAGTTAAGGAGGAATCGACGGTTTCGATTTTGAATCGAAACAACCTAATTTTTTTTGTTTTCTCAAAATATCCTTCGAGTTATCTGTTTATTAAATTATTCAAAGAGATAAATTTATTTTTTATTTTTCAGTCTGATAACTCTAATTCTTGGTCAGTTCATTTCCCATTCGAACTGTGATCAGGTCCACTAGATACGGCTCCCACGTTTAGCATATCTAGCTTCATTCCACGTCGATCCATCTGCTACCTACCTCCGCCAATCAAGTTAGATGTCCGTACCATCTATGGAGTCTGCCAGTGCTCCGTTCGTATGGTTACAATCCAAGTGTCCTCTGATCCTTGCAAGATTTCCCTTTCGTGTGGTCAGACTTCTTGTCGTTACTAATTACTTCAAATGCCTCCGGCAAACGTTGATGTGAAGGTTGCATGCGGCGGCTCTTCCTCCCCCCCTTCTGTCGATGGTGTCGGCATTGTCGTCTTCCTCCTCCAGCTTTGAGGTAACTAAACCTAGTGGCACTTCTCCAAATGGGTGTTCTTGTTCTGTTTGATGCACTAATATAACCAATCATTTGATGAAGAAGAAGAAGAAGAAGGAAGTTGATGCATTGATGTCGAGCAGGTCTTGGTTCCATGTAGAGAGGGCAAGACATGGGAAAAGACCTGCGTGCTGGCTACGAAACACAACAAGGACGAGACGAAGACCATGTCGTTAGGAGGTCAGTGCTTGTCAAGCCTGGCGAGGAGGGCAGCCCTGAGGCCGTCCTCGCGCTGCAGCTCGGTTGGCACCTTCGCCACCACGTCCTGCAGAACCACCTGCTCCAGGCTGGACACGCTCGCGTGGTGCACGCGGAGCTCCAGGTCGCGCAGTGCCGCCATTAGCCTCGCTGATGGGTGGCCCCGGTCCTCCGACTGCACCCTTATCAGCGCCTCTGCACCCAGCAGCTTCACCTCAACCTCCATTGCCGCCTTGGTGAGTGTGGTGGCGCTGGTCGTGGTGCTGCTCGTCGCGGCGCCGGCGTCGGCGCTGTGACCGGCGGTTTGCTCCACCGTGATCTCTTTCATGGCCGGCTTGCCTTCCGCCTCCAGCTTGTCGACCTTAGCCTTGAGCTCCTGGATGTAGGCCACGGCGTCCGCCAGCAGCGACGCCTTGTCCATCCGCGACACGTTGGGAACCACCGAGCGCAGCGCGTAGAAGCGGTGGTTCAGCTTCTCGCGGCGCTGCCGCTCCGCCTCGACGTGGCTTGCGGGCGCCTCGCGCGTGCCGCTAACGGTCTTCCGCCCCCGTTTCTTGGGCCGGCGGTGCTCCACCGTCAGTCCGCCGTCCGAGTCCGAGTGGCCCGAGTCGACGGAAGACGAGTGGCCGGCCCCGTCCTTCCTCACCGCAGGCGACGGGGCGGTCGCGATCGTCGGGGCCGTGCCGGTGGCGAGGGCGGCGTCGTGCGGCAGCGTGGAGAAGACGGCCTTGGCCTGCTGCATCACGACCCAGTTCTCCCCGATGATATCCGTGGAGCCGAGCTCGAGTACGCCGCCGGGTACCTGGACGCAGGCCAGCGTCTCGATCCCGTGAAGCTGGGCCTCGCGGGTGCGGTCGCACCCGCACGCCTGGAGCGCATGCGCGCCCGCCAACCACACTGGCGCAAGCGAGCTGTAGACGCGGGCGGGAACAGCCGCAACGGCGGTGGCGTCCCCGGCCACCACGAACGAGCGGCTCAGTGACACGGCGTAGAACCACTCGGCGTCGTCGACGGCGTCGGCGCCGGACCTACGGTCGGCGACGGAGCGAGCACCGCGGAAGTGGCCGTCGGCGAAGGAGAGGAGGCGGTGGTCGGGGGAGGCGCGCCAGAAGATGGCATAGGCCCACCACTCGGGGCGGGCGTCGAGGAGGCGCTGCAGGCGGTGTTGGAGAGCGGTGGCCGTGGGCTGGTGCAAGCAAGAGGAGGAGGATGAAGGGGAGATAATGAGCTCGTCCATTACGAATTGGTTCGTCGGAGATCTCGAAGCCAAAGTGTTCGTCTTTCTGTGCGTGCGCGTGTGCGAGAGGGAGATGCAGGGGCAGGTAATTTAATGGGGCGGGGCAGAGGATGCGACATGGGGAACGGGTGGGGGATGGCAGAAGCCCGGTACAATGATTGACTGAAGTCTTGAAGGCATGATAGCATATGGATGGGGGAGAGTGGGTAGGTGCATATGCCATGTTATGGAATAAGAGAATATGATATGATATATTTACCACGAGTTGCTCATGTTCTTAGTATTGCATGCTTTCAACCAAAGTGAATCACTAAATAGACATTTTTGGAGAGCTCTTACCTCCAGTTCGTGAAACACTGATGTCAACCTTGCATGGAACCTTCACTTGGGTGAACTCGTGTCGTGCTCACTTTCACCTATGCCAGAACATACAATCAAGCCTTAGATGTCAAATCACAACAACATTAAAACAATGTCAATAAACTTGTCTGAATGATATGAATCTTTACCTTTCCAGCATAGCATGTGTTGGCCTTGCAGGTTCATACTCTGACCTGCACAACAATTCTTAATCTACCATAAAGATGGTGTTTGTCAGCTGAAAGAGAAGAATAGAAAAAGAAATGCCTCAAGATAATGGAATCATTTGGCACGTCACAAGAACTCCCTCCATATCCTTAATTTGACAGTAAGGATAAGAAGCAAAGAATCGAGGATGGTAAAGGATGATGTGAGGAAAAATAACTAGTTCACAACCCATATTATATCACATATAATCTTAGATTAATAAATTAAAAACAAAGATTCAAGAGGGATGACAGGAACAGTACAAAACATTAAAGTGAAAACCACTCCTTGTCATCCAGACACTCCAAAATACAAGATGGGAACAATTGGCAGCTGATCAACCTCTTAAGGAGTATTTCTTGCCAGTGAAGGCCTGGAACTTTGGTTCTTCTTCTTTCTTTGCAGGTTCTTCCTTTATTTCTTTAGAGGCAACCTACAAAAAACAATAAAACAATTTTTTTTCAGCTGCTATAAGTGCATAAATATTGTCACCAGGAGTCCATAAAAATATATTGCCCATATGGCTGGTCAAATGGCACCTAATATCAACCATATGGTTGGTGCAACATCATTTGGATAGAATCTAAATTTGCATTATTTTCATCCTTATCGGATAATAGAAACAATGATCAATCAGGTAAGAACAAGTTTTGCACCTTCTGTGCTTCTCTTGAAGCATGAATGGAACTTGAACCAAAAACAAGCTTTCCCATACTTTGACGAGAAGGGTTGCTCTGCAAAGTGGACGGTGTTGACTGCTTTATGCTGTTTACGGCTTCTGATTTGGGATCTTCCATTGGGGAAACAATAGTTGAAGCTTGGTCCTTTGAAGGCTTTCCATCTAACCTTCTTCCAGTACCAGTAAATGGAGTGAATTTTTGCTCATCTTTGGCTTCAGTTTGAGCATCCTGAACTGAAATATTAAGACAAATACCTCTAAGAAGAGAAAGATAAGAGAAGAGCTAGTGTTAATCAAGTAGCAATGGTTTCTGGTCCCTGTATATTGAACTAATTCTACTCATAGATGAATGATCAATTTGAAGAAAACATGTCTGACCACAGCTAAAGCACAGATTTGAAAGTCACACATATATCCAGGATTCATCTAAATGAATGACCTATCAGGAATATGACAAATATTGACAGGCTGTTTTATAATGGAACTATATCAGCACGTGCAAATGGTTAAAACATCGCTCGCAGCTTGTACAAACAATGATGTCATATGATGGCTCCATCTTCCGTGATTGGTTGACAAATTAACCTATGATACCGGGGAGGGTAAAAATACAGAATGGATTTCGAAAGAACACCGATAGAACAGTTGTTCAGATAGAAAATATCACAGAAGGCAAGAAATGAACTCTTGAAGAAACTTTGGTAAAAACGAAAAATAGCTCACTACCAAGTTTAAAATCAAAAGGGATACAGAAAGATCACCACCCTAATGATAATAAACAAGGATACATAACTGAAAGCAAAAGACTCACCACTCAAGGACGCATCCAAGAGATACAGAGTTCAAAAGAGCACTCCAAGAGAGCTTCTGCCAATATCCTCAGTTTTCTAAAGTCTTTTCTAAGCCCTAAACACCAAAATAAATACTAGTGCATGAAACAACCCTTCATGCATAGGGAATTTTGAAATTAAGTGCTTTACAACTGCTAACCAACTCCTTTAATGTATTCCTTAGCCATGAAGAAAAGCACCATGACACAGCTTTACCTTTGTGCAGGGAATATGCTGATGAGCTGTCTTATCTGAGTAGGCTGAGTTGAAGATTATGAGGCAATATTGTTGGTTGAAAAAATATCATATTATCAGCATGGTCCATATGAACAGATTGTAGCAAATTAGACACTGCCGTGTCAATCTTCCTTAGTTGAAAAAGACTTGTCCTCAAGTCCTTGTTTGTTTTGTCAACATGATTATAAAAAGGACTTAAATCAGCTATATTAAATGTTGGGGATACTCCGTAATCTTTAGGTCGCTTAATCTCATAAGCATTTTTACCAATTCTCTTAAGCACCTTGAATGGACCATCAGCCTATGGTTTCAGTTTTCCAAATTTGCCCGGCGGAAACCCCTCCTTCCTTAGATGAATCCAGACCAAATCACCTGCATTAAACTCCACATGTTTTCTGTGTTTGTTGGCAGCTTGCATGTACCTCTCATTTTGCTTCTCAATGGTTGCTTTCACACCCTCATACAGCTTCTTTATCTGCTTAGCTCTTTCATCAGCATCTCCACTAAATTGCTTTGTTGTAGAATGAGGGATTAAGTCCAAAGGACCAGTAGTATTAGCACCATAAACTACCTCAAAAGGACTCTTACCAATACTATAATGCATAGAACGATTGTAGGCAAACTCAATTTGTAGAAGAATGACATCCCACTACTTAATATTCTTGCCAACATAGCTTCTAAGCAAATTTCCCAAGCTTCTGTTTGTTACATCAGTTTGCCCATCGGTTTGTGGATGATGCGAGCTACTAAAATTCAAAGAAATACCAAGCTTTCTCCAAAAATGACTAACAAATTTTGAATCTCGATCAGACACCATAGTTCTTGGAATACCATGCAATTTAACAATCTCCTTAAAATATAAATCAGCAATATGAGATGCATCATTCGATTTATTGCATGGAACAAAGTGAGACATTTTTGAAAATCTGTCAACAACGACCATGATAGAATCCTTGTTCCTTTGAGTTCTTAGCAGTCCCAAAACGAAATCAAGACTCACATCGTCCCGTGGAGCATTTGGCACTGGCAATGGAGTGTACAAACCAGAATTTTGACTTCTTGTTTTTGCCAAATGACACTCGACATTGCTTTACATGTCTTTCCACATCTCTAAACATCTTAGGCCAATAGAAGTTTGATTGAATAAGAGCTAAGGTCTTATCTCTACTAAAATATCCGCCCAAAACACCACCATGAGCTTCAGCTAGAATTACTTGTCTCAAAGAACAGGATGAAACACATAAAGCATTAGCTCGAAAAAGAAAACCATCAAAGATAGAAAATTGTTGAAAGAAACTTGATTTACAATTCTGCCATATTGATCCGAAATCCACATCATTCTCATAGAGATTTTTGAATGTTTCAAATCCAACCACTTTGACTTCCATTGCTGATAATAAAAAATGCTTTCTGCTTAATGCGTCAGCAACTACATTTTGAACACCAGATTTGTGTTTGATTGTAAAGTTGTAAGATTGTAAAAACTCCACCCAAGCTGCATGCCTCTTGTTTAGCTTGTGCTGGTGATTAATGAACTTTAATGCCTCATGATCAGAATATAGAACAAATGGTTTGGCAAGAAGATATTGACTCCAATGAGACAAAACTCGATAAATCGCATAAAACTCTTATCATAAGTAGAGTATTTCTTTCTCGTATCATTCAGCTTTTCACTAAAAAATGCAATGGGCTTTTCGTCTTGGCTCAAAACAGCACCAATTCTCACATTAGATGCATCACATTCAACTTTAAACACATTATCAAAATTTGATAGAACTAAGATAGGAGCTTCGATCACCTTTCTTTTTAAAAGCTCAAAAGCATCATTAGCTTCACTAGTCTATTTGAATTTATCACATTTCAGACATTCGGTGATTGGAGCGACAATAGAGCTGAAACCCTTGATAAATCTTCTGTAAAACGAAGTTAAGCAATGGAAACTCCTCACATCATGCAATGAAGCAAGTGTTGGCCAATTGAGAATAGCCTCTACCTTACTTTGATCCATCATGATTCCATCTTTTGAAACAACATATTCCAAAAACACCACGCTAGAAGTAAAGAAATCACACTTCTTTAGATTAGTATAAAGCTTTTGCTGCCTTAAAATAAAAAAGATCTCTTTCAGATGATTCATATGCTCCTCTTCGCTCTTGCTGTACACCAATATATCGTCAAAATAAACTACAACAAATATTCCAATACATGACTTAAGTATGTGATTCATAAATCTCATGAAGGTGCTAGGAGCATTAGATAGCCCAAATGGTATAACCAACCATTCATATAAGCCTTCTCTAGTTTTAAATGTTGTTTTCCACTCATCTTCGGGCCTCATTCTTATTTGGTGATAGCCACTCCTCAAATCAATTTTAGAGAAAATATAAGCACCACACAATTGATCAAATAAATCATCTAACCTTGGAATAGGAAAGCGATAGTCCACTGTGATTTTGTTGATGGTGCGACTGTACACGCACATTCTCCAAGAACTATTCTTCTTAGGCACCAACAAGGCTGGAACCGCACAAGGACTCATGCTCTCCCGAATTAACCCTTTTTTCACTAATTCATCAACTTACCTTTGAAATTCTTCATGCTCCTTGGGACTCATTCTATATGCTGCCTTATTAGGTAGAACAGCCCCTGGAATAAGAACAATGTGATGCTGGATGTCTCTCAAGGGTGGAAGGCCATGTGGAATCTCTTCTGGTATAACATCTTCAAACTCTTCCTGGATTTGTTTCATGATTGCTGGTGTTTCCTTGTATTGTTCATTTTCCTCGACTACTACTAGAGCCATAACATGACGACCCTTGTTTAATTCACCTTTGCATTCACCATAGGACATAAAAGTGCTAACTTTCTTCTTTGGTGCACTGATTTCAGATGGTTGTAATGGAGCTAAGATAATCTTCTTTTCATTCACCTTAAAAGAATAAGTATGTTTATAGCCGTCATACAACACCCTTCTATCATAATGCCAAGGTCTTCCCAACAGCAAATGACAAGCATCCATAGGAGCAACATCACACTATACTTCATCTTTATAATACTTGCCAATAGAAAATGAAACTAAACATCTTTTAGTTACATTGATGTCATTTCCTTTCTGCAGCCAACATAACTAGCATGGATGTGGATGAGGGATGGTGTCCAACTTTAGCTTTTGCACCATCTCCAAAGATACCACATTCTCAAAGCTGCCGCTGTCGATAATCACCAAGCACACTTTGTCAAGAGAAGTGCATTTAGTGTGAAACACATTTTTTCTCACCCAACTTTCATCGTCGACCACATAGGACACTTATAAACTACGTTGTAATACAATAGACAAACCATGATCAGCATAAGTAATCTCTTCCTCATCATCATCGTATTTTGGTTCGTCCTCAGCTTCATCCTCTCCTCCATCACTATGATCTTCAACCAAAGTTACAATCCTCCTATTTGGACAATCTGAAGCAATATGCCCAAAACCATGACATTTGAAGCATTTTCGACCACATGGGGTAGATGAATTAGATGTTTTTTTGCTGCCAGCAGATTCTTTACCCTTTTCTTGCACCTTCGATATCACCTTGCTTTGGATAGTAGGCTTGGAACTTTCTCCTTTTGTATAGCCTTCTTTTAAGCCGTACCGAAAACTCTTTTCAAACTTCTGTTGCTTTTCAATTTTTAATGCCAGCTTGCTCACATCATTTAAAGACCAATATGGCTGTAGCTGAACAACTTTAGCAATCTCATACTTCAGACCTCCTAATTATCTTGCAATTGTTTTCTCTTCCGGTTCCACAAGCTCTCCTTTTAACATCAAATTATCGAATTCTACAGTGTACTCCTCCACACTAAGATCTTTTTGCTTGAAATCATGTATTTTGAGAAAGATCTCTTACGTATAATTATGAGGTAAATATTTTCTCTTCAGCTCCCTTTTCATTTTCTCCCATGTAACGATTTTACTCTTCCCCTCACATTCTCTTTGTTTCTTCAGATTTTCCCACCAAAAAGATGCATTCCGTCCGAGTTTAAATGCTACAAGTTTGACCTTCTTTTGTTTTGGTGGTTCATGAAAATCGAAAATTCTTTCTACTGTATTAAGCCAATCGATAAAGTCGTCAACATTTATTTTACCTTCAAATTCTGGAATATCCAATCTGGGGTTAT